TTACAGTCTACCTGAGGGAGCAGAAAACAAAGAAATGACACGACAAGTAAATTCTGTAGTAAGTCAGATGACAAATGCTTTGCCAAAGCGGAGAGGCAGGCTGCCACGAGAGACTGAGGTGGGCAGAGCCAGTCTCCCTGCGAAGAAAGCTTTAAGCAAAGAGTGGAGAGTAGGTCAGCCAAGAGCGTGTCTAAGCAGAGCATAAGGTGGGAAAGCGGCTTGAGGGGGGCTGGGAGGTGCATCAGAAGGCACGCCACCTCTCTTAGGTCCTGACTTCATCTTTCATCCCTGCTTTCTAGCACAGAATAGGCACTCAGTTCATTTAAACTCCAGGAAACACAAGGTTATCCAGTATACAAACTCAATCCAGACAACAGGCCAGTGCTTCCTAAGAAAACTGCATGCGAACCAGATAGGAGGATAGTACATTTGGAGAGGAACTGCGTGCCAGATCTTCACATAGGTTTGTGACCCTCTTTTCTTCCCTAAAGTGGAACATGACAGCTTTATTTCTAGGAACATACAAGAAAAGTGGGGAAAGCATGTTGATATCTAAGGGGGAACTTGTCACACAGATTCTACTTGTGGGCAGAGTTTAAGGACAACTTCTTTTGACCAAGAGGGTAGGCAGTGAGGGGCCTTAAAGGCACGTCCCTGCAGCCTCCTTTTATTCCAAGCTCATGGGGGTGGGGGTGCCGTGCCCCCCATCCCCAGGACACTCCTTCCACGAAAGAAACCTGCATGTCACCGGGGTAACTCCTCAATAAAAAAGAGACAGTCAAACCTGAAAAGCAGGCTAAGTCAGGTTTAGGAGTAAAAATGGAAAAAAGGCCAAAGAATTCAATTACAGTAAGAAAAGAACCATCCTTTCTCACCTTCACATAATTTGTCCCTGCAAACACTTTTCAAATAAACACACTCTCAGGCAAAAGAAATTAGAGTCCCACAGGTTCCAACAAATCTGTCCTTACAACTGTTTTCCCTATCAATCTGACATGCAACTAGCATGAGCTGCTGAATCCTCTTCAGAAGACAAGATTAACATTTCTAGAAAATCTAATATTTAGCATCTCAACTCCCTACCCAACCTCCCTATACTACCTTTTCAACCTTTCAATGGCTCCTAATTTCTCATTTATATTCAGGCCTGCTCTTTACTTTAGTGCACATTATGAGTCTCTTTCTTATTAAACTCTGCTAAAGTTTTTCATTTTACTCTTAACTTTCCATGCATTAAAAAAAAAAAGTAAAAGCTGTTAAAAATCTCAATTGTTACCACAGTACATGAGAAAGAAAGCATTATAAAATATTTTATATCTTACAAAGAGAAAACTCAAAAGGAAAAACTGGCTTTTCCGTATGCTATGATCAAATGAAGTTACACCTGACAGCAGATATCAAATGCAATTTTTGTTTAGCAGTTATTTTTACAAAATTTTTGTCCCTAATCTTGGCAAGGCATCACTTTCCACCTTTTAAATAATCTTTTCTACTCCAACTCAGATATGTTTACGATTTTGTAATCTTTCGTAATGTGTGCATGCTTAGTCACTGAGTTGTGTTTGACTCTGTGACCCCGTGGACTGGAGCCCACCAGGCTCCTCTGTCCATGGAATTCTCCAGGCATGAATACTGGAGTGGGGAGTCATTCTCTTCTTCAAAGGATTTTCCCAACCCAGGGATCCAACCTGGGTCTCTTGCATTACAGGGAGATTCTTTACCATCTGAGCCACCGTGGAAGTCCCAAACTGCGACAAATGAAAACGAAGTGAAAGTCGCTCAGTTGTGTCCGACTCTGTGACCCCATGGACTCTAGCCCATAGAATTCCGTCCATGGAATTCTCTAGCAAGAATACTCGAGTGGGCAGCCATTCCCATCTCCAGGGGATCTTCCTGACCCAGGGATCGAAACTGGATCTTCAGCACTAGAGGCAGTTTCTTTACCATCTGAGCCAAAACAAATTGCCAACATTCACTGGATCACAGAAAAAGCAAGGAGTTCCAGAAAACCATCTACTTCTGCTATATTGACTACACCAGAGCCTTTAACTGTGTGGATCACAACAAACTGTGGAAAATTCTTAAAGAGATGGGAATACCAGATCACCTTACCTGCCTTCTGAGAAACCTGTATGCAGGTCAAGAAGCAAGTTAGAACCGGACATGGAACAACTGACTGGTTCCAAACCAGTAAAGGAGTACGTCAAAGCTGTATATTGTCACCCTGTTTATTTAACTTATATACACAGTACCTCATGAGAAATGCCAGGCTGGATGAAGCACAAGCTGGAATCAAGACTGCCAGGAAAAATATCAATAACCTCAGATATGCAGATGACACCACCCTTATAGCAGAAAGTGAAGAGAGACTAAAGAGCCTCTTGATGAAAGTAAAAGAGGAAAGTTAAAGAGCTGGCTTAAAACTCAACATTCAAAAAATTAAGATCATGGCATCCAATCCCACCACTTCATGGCAAAGAGATGGGGGAAACAATGGAAACAGTGACAGACTTTATTTTCTTGGGCTCCAAAATCACTGCAGATGGTGACTGCAGCCATGAAATTAAAAGATGCTTGCTCCTTGGAAGAAAAACTATAACCTAGACATACATATTAAACCTAGACAACATATTAAAAAGCAAAGACATTAGTTTGCCAACAAAAGTCCGGCTATTCAAAGCTATGGTTTTTCTAGTAGAGATGTATGGATGGTGAGAGTTGGACTATAAAGAAAGCTGAGGGCCAAAGAATCGATGCTTCTGAACTGTGGAGTTGGGGAAGACTCTTGAGAATCTCCTGGACTGCAAGGAGATCAAACCAGTTAATCCTAAAGGAAATCAGTCCTGAATATTCATTAGAAGGCCTGATGCTGAGGCTGAAGCTCCAATACTTTGGCCACCTAATGTGAAGAACTGACTCATTGGAAAAGACCCTGATGCTGGGAAAGACTGAAGGCAGGGAGACAAGGGACAACAGAGGATGAGATGGTTGGATGGCATCACAGACTCGATGAACATGAGTTTGAGCAAGCTCTGGGAGTTGGTGATGGACAGGGAAGCCTGGTGTGCTGCAGTCCATGGGGTTGCAAAGAATTGGACTGGACTGAGTGACTGAACTGAACTGACTGAATCTTTAGTATGCTGATTATTTTTCCTTTTGAATCAGTCTCCATATAAGGAAGTGTCTCTAACTTAAAATATCAAAAGTCAAATGAAGAATATGTAGTTGGTAGGAAAAAAAGAAACAATTATGCACATACCTCCCCCCCCAGCTAAGTGAAGCTATGCAAGAAACAGAATGGTTGACAAAATTACATATATATGTGTCAAACTTTTTTGACTTATCTAAAAAGAAAAACTAACTTTTGTTTTGAACTGTCAAGTTAAATGTATCATTTGGGCATTACTTCTAACAAATGGTATAATGTTTATAAAACAAGTATCCCTGATGGGTTGCGATGGAAGAGAAAAGCTCTTCTCCTCAAGTATCTTTAGTGAGTTCCTTAACTTTTATAAAATATTCCCAATTCTATTTACCCTTGCATTCTGCTTCTTCACTTTTGGTACTTCATTCATTTGTGCTAGAATAAGTCAGTGTTAAAGAAGACTCAAGAATACAAGGAGCTTATCCAGAAATATAGTCAGTTTTACTTGACAAATAACCACTGCAGTTAAGTCCACCCATTAGAAACACATCTTTCCATAACTTTCTCAGTCTGTGGGCAAAAGATTATACAGGGGGAATAATGCTTGAGATTTACTAGTGAAGAAATGATTTGACAAGGCTGTTAACAGCAAAGCAGCAAAACGCTTGTCCCTGTGAAACGCCTTAAGGAACAGCTGTGCTCAGAGCTGAAGTGGGGACCATCGCCAACCAACAACGAGCGGGTTTTGGGGTTTCCCTGGTGGCTCAGTTGTAAAGAACCCGGCTGCCAATGCAGGAGACACAGGCTCGATCCCTGATTTGGGAGGATCCCACATGCCTTGGAGCAACTAAGTCCATGTGCCTCAACTATTGAGCCCGTGTTCTAGAGCTTGGGAACCACAATTATTAAAGCCCAAGTGCCCTAGAGCCCATGGTCTGCAACATGAGAAGCCACCTCAACGAGAAGCCCAAGCATTGCAATTAGAGAGTAGCCCTCTTTGGCCACAACTAGGGAAAATGAAGACCCAGTACAGCCAAAAATAAATAAATAAAATTATATGTATAAAGGAAAAAAAAAAAACCATGAGTGGTTTTGGATCAAGGTGGTTTCCATCTGAGATTAACATTCAGTGGCTTCTTTTTTTTCTCATGAACAGATGACATCAACCAGGCGGAAGAGGTTCCCTGTGCATCTATACTAACTACAGGATCGAGTTTAAGCTTCAGCCAGTACTCCTGGAGCAGAAACCAAGAGACAGACACCAGGTTATAAAAACACTGGTTTCTTCTCTGCTGAGTTCTGTGGTCATTTTATTACTCTATTTTCCATGAAGATCATTTTCCATTAAATACTTACATTAACCTTACCCTCTACTTTTCCCTAATGATTATTTGGATATACAGTACCAATTACATGAGTAAGAATGCAATAGGTGTTTGATTCCACGTGACTCTAATCGTGTTCAGAGACATTCACTAAACAGTTTCTCAGATATCATGTCCTATTTTTGTAACAACTCTCCACCCCACGAACACAAATTTCTAGCCATGTAATAACTAACCATCTTTCGTGCACCATATGTAAATTCAAGTAAAGCGGCTAAACAATTTCTGCCCAGAGCATTTTATCCCAGCCCAACCAATCTGAGCGGAGAAGGCAATGGCAACCCACTCCGGTACTCTTGCCTGGAAAACCCCATGGACGGAAAAGCCTGGTAGGCTGCAGTCCATGGGGTCACACACAGTCGGATAGGGCTGAAGCGACTTAGCAGCAGTAGCAGTAGCAGCAACCAATCTGAGACTTTTCCTTTAAAAAAAAAAAAAGAGTCATGAAGCAATCACTCATCAATACTGACCTTGTTGCTCACTGTCTGCTTCAGTTTTTGAAGGACCCGGGGCAACAGGAAGGGGTCGAGGTGGCCGGGGCTTTGGTGTGGGAGGTGAGATCTTTTTCCTTCCAATATATTCTACGTAAGTTCCCGGAAAGTCTCCCCTCTCCCCTGTCGTCTCGTTATAGCCATTTAACCAGCCAATTTCTTCAGGCTTGGCCTCCTGGCCATCACTGAATCCAAGAGCGACTAAGGACCCCTTGTTCACCGTCAGTATGTCCCCCAAGTGCAAGTCAATGTCTTCGTCCCGCTCCTTTTTATAGTCGTACAGAGCCCGGTATTGGTATCCCTCCGCGCTCATGGCTGCAGACCCGGGACCATGCGACGGCTGAGGCCGGCTGCGCACTGCAGTCTACCCTGACGTTTCTACGGGGAGAGAATTCGGAGTGGGCGCGAAGGCTCCTGACACACCTCCAGCAGGGGGCAAAGCGTCAGTCTCCAAAGGCTTAGGAGGAGAGGTGATTGGCCATCCGGCCGTCCATCTGTCCTCCATGAAGGGTGTGACTCAAGTCAAGGCTCTCCTCCTCTGTGGCCGCGGTCCCCCCACCGGCTTCCTCTTCAGCGACTCGTCAACACGCCGACTCCAGGCTGACGCCCCCGGCGAGGCCCGATCCTTTCTGACGCTCTCGTCACGCTGCCCATCTGTCGCCTGACTTGACCGTGGCACGCCGCATGCGAGCTGCACCTAGCAAAGGGAAAACAAGACTTATGAATGAGCAGCACACAGGCCATCTGTGTGACTCTGGACTTGGACTGCCATTCAACAAGTGCTTAACCAGTCTGGCAGACGGACATGGGCCGGCGTCCTTGCGCTTGACGCGGTGTACACAACCAGATGAGCGAGGCAGGCAGTCCCTGCTTTCTAAGAATGCTCAGCGGGCTGAGAGGGCTGCTGGCACGTGGCAACATCTCTGAGACAAGAAGGGACCCAAGGAAACGCAACCCGAGGTAAATGCTCTCTCTCCTAAGAGAGCAGAGACCGAACGCTAGGGAGTTCGCAGAGGGGAGAGCAGGCATCTGAAGACGGAAAGAACATGCGGTGTGAACTTAGGTGAAGCTGTGAGGAGGCGCGTGTCACATCCTGCTAAGAGCCAGAACAGGCAGCCCAACACGTGCGAAGCCAAAGAGGAGGCATCGGATCCGAGTTAGAAAGATAAGCAGGGGTTGTATGACACCACGCATGCGACTTCATGAGTGATGCTAACTGCAATGGGGAGCCAGGACAAGGCTTGGAGAAAGGGGACAGACAGGACCAGGGTTGCACGTGAAGAATCTCACTCTAATCCTGATGCACGGGAGGGGCTGTCACAGAGACAGAAGGGGAGAGCCAGGCAAGGCGTTTTGCAGCCATCTGGGCAAGTGCCCACAAGGGCATGAACCAAAGTGGCAGGAGAAGGTGTGGAGAGGCGGAACTGAAAAGGGACAAAGAGGTGTGTGGGGGACATGGCAGTGCTGAAACATGGATGGAGAAAGAGAAGCACCTGGGACTAGGATACTGCATCCCAGTGGGGGAGACGGAGGGACCACAGCATGAGGAGGAACAGGACCACAGAGAAGCCAAGAGGAAGGGCTCTTCCCAGCCTCCAGAGCTGAGTGAAGGTTCAAGGCATGATCCGACTACTGGTGCTTAGAGATCAGCTACTCCATCCACTGTTTCAGAACTCACAATCAAGAAATATATACTTGTGTGTCTGTTTAGCAACATGTTAGTATGTAGTAATACAAAGATATAAAAAAGACACAAACATTTAGTATATAATACCAGACCATAGGTCATTTTGTTGGTAACTTCCAAGCAAAAAAAAGCAAAGTAGAAAGTATAAACTGTACAGAAAAGTACAAAATAAAAAGGAAAAATGTTCTCTCCTTCCTACTTTCTCCTCTATCCCAAAGGTTATTACTGTTTGATATTAAAAAGCAATAAAATTACATATTATTTTTTAAAAGAGAGAAACAGAGCAAAAAGGGTGACTGACCCTGAGTTCATGAGAAGACCATAGATACCAGTATCAGGCAAAGGGAAGCCAGGAGGCCTTGGTGGGCTAGAAGTGATGCTGAGCATCCAAACCCACGTGTGAGTAGCTGAAAACCTGGTCTGTGATTCAGGACAGGGAACACACCTTAAGTTTGATAATCAGCTGCAAATAAGACACAGGCAAACTCAATGGAATGAAGGAACTCAGGAAAAAAATATTAAAAGTTCAAAAAAAAAAAAAAGATCCAAGGATGAAACATTGAGGCTCACTGAATGCTACTGAAATGGGAAAGTCAAGGTCTGGAGACGATGCCATGTCCTGGAAATAAGGAATAAGAGGGTTCAGGTAGGAAAGGGTGACCTCTAAGACTGAATCCTGCAGAAGCCTCTGGGAGTGTAAAATAGGCAGGGCGAGGTCACCCCAGGGCTGCGTCCATCGTGGACTCATGGCAGAAAGGCAGAGCAAGCCACTGTAGTCTGATGGTATAGAGGATCTGATGTTCAGTTGCTAAATCGTGTCCGACTCTGCGACCCTATGGACTGCAGCACGCCTTTAAGGAGTTAAGGAATAAAGAGAAAGCAGATAGCTGCTGCAGACCACTCTATGGAGACAGTTCAATGGAGGAGAAGATGCAAGTTTCTTCTTTTTTTTAACTAGTGGAGGCAGAGGGCTCAGTCAAGAGATTCTCAAGATAGGCAGTAAGCAGCTTGGATTGCCGCTAGAAAAGCAGAGAACAGCAGAGAACAGCAGAGAACAGCGTGCACTGGGACACACTATGCGCACCCCGTTCATTTCTCCACGTTATCTTGGTCATAAAGAGGAAAAGCAAACTCACGGTTTCAGTTAAGCTGGCTGAACAATAAAGCAATGAAAACAATAGCCTCACAATGTTGGTGTGCTATGTCAAAGAGAGCTTTTGTAAGTTTTCAAGAGTGGAACCCTTTAGAAGTTTAATATTATAGGCACTCTGGGCGCAGGCATCTTAAGAAGCAAAATCTAATCACAGATTAATTGTTATGCTGGCATTCAGAAGTGTAAAGCATTCAACTTTACATGGCTAAAGCCTCTTAGCTGTAATACAATAACGCTCTTAGGAGAGTTACATATTAAAAGAAGCAAAAACAAACACTGGAGATCTTTGTGTAGCAAGAATATTAATCTGGGGTAGTATTCTACTTTGCATTTCAGTCGGCAGAGGAAAAAAATTAAAGCAGCCAGCAGAGCATATGAGAAAAATAAACTATGTTATGTTTGAAGACAGCCTCTCCTTTTGCCAGATCCAGAATCAAATTAAATATTCACTGCATAAATTCACACGAAAATGTAGAACTAGCAAATCCCATTTTTAGTACTAATGTACTCTGTTACAAATGAGACACAGAACTCTAAAGAACATGGAAATCTACATATCCCTAAATGCCTGGAAACCAGGCAATATGCCTAAGAATAATTTAATTCCTCCAAATTTGCCTTGAAATTTTTGTTAGCTTTTCCTGGCAATTTATGTCTTTGGGGGGGGGGGGGAGTCCTCAACTAGGAGGCTCGGTAGATCTTTCCGCCAGCTGCTGCCTATGGCTTCCTGTTTCAACAACCCAGAAGGCCAGTTTGGTGAGATTCTTAACAGAATGAGCAGCATAATGATCCCTCTCTCCCTTCTTCCCTGTCACCTGCAATTCCTCCTCTCCCCTCTAAAAAGCCTCAGCAAACTGCCAAGGCTTGCTCAAGACATATCCCTGCAGCTATGCATGTCCTGCACCAGGGGACACTGTAGTATGAAAAGCCTCTAGGTCTGCTCACAGTTTTATAAACCTAAAAACTATGTTTACACTGGCCTGAAGCTAAATCCCTGCAAAGAGATAAAGAACCCCGAGGAACCCTAAGACTCTAGCAACTGCTAGAGTCTAGAGCAGCAATAACAATTCTCGCCTTAGATGCCAGAGACTTGTCTCTACAAAGAACCCCTCCCTCACCATTTCTAAGAACCACCTTACTTTGTATGTAAGAATCTTGTGCAGAATTTTGGGCCCTCAACCGAAACAAAAAAACAAAAAAACATCCCCAGATCTTCTATGGCTCTAGGGCCGCAAGTAGCACACACTACTCTTTATCTCTGGGACTCCACCATCAAGGCCAGGAAGACCAATCAAAACAATCCAAGGTCAGCCATGATTCAGTGGCAATTAAGTGAGTGGAGAGCAATTAAAAGAAGCCAATTAAGAGGGAGAGCTGCCTAGCCAGCTAGGGGGCAGGTGAAGGGCATCCTATGGAGAGGTACAGAGAGGCCTTGGCTAGAGGGAGGAGGCATGTGGCTTCTCTGCTGCACGCTGTACACTTTCTCCTGATGGCCACACCCAATTAAATGATGTCATTGTCATCATGGTCATCATCTAATACTGGGAGCTATAGATGTATTAACCCATTCAACCATCACCATCAAATATTTATTGGGAGCTGTATGTGTATTAACATGGGTCAGTAACCATGAGGTGGGTACTACCAACATTCTCACTTTACGCAAGAGGAAATGAGGTGCAGAGAGTTTGTGTCTTGGCTGTGATATCTTGGCCATGAAAACACTCAGCAAGTGACAGGTAAAACTAGAGTTCAGATCCAGACAGTCTAGCTCCAGAGTCATCACTTTTAACATTCTAAACCCTGCTGCTCAAACTCAGTTTCCCTGGATGCCCATGGATGGCCAGATACGTCAATAAGGTCACCCATGTAGATTCCTTGCCTGCATACTCAGACCTCTCAAACTCATCTTGATGGTCTGCTTTTTACTCTCTGTGATAGCGGCCATATCGGCATCTGTGGCTCTTTCACAATAAAACACCTGCACAAAGAGAAGCCTTTATAACTCAGGAGGAGTGCCCTCAAGTCTGAGACTCAGGATCCTGGACCATGCAGATTTTCTTCCAAAGAGATTTTACTGAGATGCATCCTTGCCAAACAAGTCCATAAAGGGGTGAATCAAATATTGGGCACCGAACTTCTAGAAAGGCTACCCTCATAGCTCAGTTGGTAAAGAATCTGCCTGCAACACAGGAGACCCCAGTTGTATTTCTGGGTTGGGAAGATCCTCTGGAGAAGGGTAAGGAAAGGAGATCAGTCCTGGGTGTTCACTGGAAGGACTGATGCTGAAGCTGAAACTCCAATACTTTGGCCACCTCATGCGAAGAGTTGTCTCATTGGAAAAGACTGATGCTGGGAGGGATTGGGGGCAGGAGAAGGGAATGACAGAGGATGAGATGGCTGGATGGCATCACCGACTTGATGGACATGAGTTTGAGAAAACTCCGGGAGTTGGTGATGGACAGGGAGGCCTGGCGTGCTGGGATTCACGGGGTCGCGGAGAGTTGGACACAACTGAGCGACTGAACTGAACTTCTAGAAGGCTGCCCTCTTCTGGAATCCTGTCCATTTCTGCTCTACAGGCTTCAGCTTCTGTCACCTAACTGCCTCCTGCTGCTGCCCCAGTCCTCTCACTGCACAACTTCTGACAACTCAGTCCCTCCTGGGCGGTGGGGGAGGGAGATGTAAATCATCATCCACAGCCACCAGGGAGATGATGTTCAGAGGACTGGCAAGTTGTCCTTCTCTCCCCCTCAGATTCGCCCCAGCACAGCAGAAATCTCTGCAACCTTGGACACTGGCAGTGCCTAAATTACTTGCCTGTGGTCAGTGTGGGGCCCAAACTCTATGTTCCCCA